GACTGGCTTATTTCTTAAAATACCATTAAGAAAAACTTCGATAGGCTTTCAATCCATTTTGTTCTGAGAACAAAATACAGAGCCAGAAATTTAGAAATGAGAGGCTTCTCCCTGCACTGCTACATCACCTTGTCACTGATTCTCAATAGCTGCAAACGTGACCTGAGAACAGGGCTGGCAAAGCTTCCGTTGCTTAGCAACAAATGGAACTAGCTCCTCCTCTCCCCATTCTTCTAGAAATAAAGGCTTAAGCCTCAGGGCCCTGAAGAAAACACAGTTAGAAGTCACAGTGAAGGGCCTTTCTCCCTTAATCTGCCTTCACTTACTTCCAAAAGCCCCTCCTGCATTCCAAGCTTTGGTCACAGGATAGATGGATAAAAGGAACTCTCATCACACCTGGGAGGGGACCAGCACTGGCAAGTAACTCAGGGAGGCCTGGGTGCCAAAAATCCCCAGCTCGCTCTTTCTCCAGGATGACATTATTCCCTGTCAGGAGCCAACCATAGGCAAAGAAACAGGGCGACAGGGAACTCTGAGGCATCGCTTGGTGGTCTCAGGGCGGGAAGCAGGGGCAGCCACCACTTTCTGCAGCAGGGACACACTATCCTGCATTTCCCAGGAGGACACAAGGCCTTTTCTGTACCCCTTTCCCTCCCTACTTCATTTAAGGCACAAAGATTTACCAATGGACTCCATCAGTACCCTTCCACTCAGCTCTAATCTACCCAATTTAAGAAATGAATCTGGCCCTAATCGGTTTGGCTCAGTGGATAGAGCATCGGCCTGCGGACCGAAGGGTCCCAGGTTCGATTCCAGTCAAGGGCATGTACCTTGGTTGCGGGCACATCCCCAGTAGGGGGTGTGCAGGAGGCAGCTGAATCGATGTTTCTCTCTCATCGATGTTTCTAACTTTCTATCCCTCTCCCTTCTTCTCTGTAAAAAAAAAAATTTAAAAAAAATGAATCTGATCCCGTCCATAGTCTTTCAGCCAGGACACAAAGCACAGGCCACTAGCCAGACCTGTAGTGGAAGGGCGGAGGGGAGGAGGGCGGGTAGGAGGAGGGCGGGTAAAGTCAAGAGAGGAGATGAGGAGTATGGCCTTTATCCTGTGGTTGGGATACTATTCCACAGAGCGAATGAGCCTGGGTGACAGCAATGAGCTTCTCTGTCCTACTGTCCTTTCACTTTTCACTTTGAGTCACTTGTTTTAGTTGTCTCTCTTTTAAACACCCCAGAAACTGATTTCTTATTTTTCAAATATATTTTTATTGATTTCAGAGAGGAAAGGAGAGAGAGATAGAAACATCAATGATGAGAGAGAATCATTCGGCTGCCTCCTGCACGCCCCACACTGGGGATCGAGCCCACAACCGGGGCATGTGCCCTAATCGGGAATTGAATCATGACCTCCTGGTTCATAGGTCAAAGCTCAACCACTGAGCCACATTGGCAGGGCCCCAGAGACTGTTTTCAACCTAATTTGAAGGTTCATCTTTTAAATAAAGAATTATTTTAGCCCATTTTCATTTAATAATAGCAATATTTAATGTAATACTTTAAACTAAATGTATTAAATTATTCCATGCAAGCAATCAGCATTTATGGGACATTTAATATGTGCTAGGTACTGTTATAGACACTTTATATAAAAGATATGTTACCATTTAGTCCTTACATGTAGGGTGTTTATTATATTATCTTCATATGCGAGATGAGGAAACTGAGGCACACAAAGGGTAAGAAACCTGCTTAATAGCACACACCTAGTAGTCAGTGGTTCAGGATTGGAACTGGGGTGACTGACAGCACAGCAAGCTTTTTTCTGGCATCTTAGTTTCAGTTTTCTGTAGTTTACACTGCTTCCTCTTTTTTTTTTTTTTAGTTGTTTTGCCCCGTGATCAATACTTCACCACTTCCACTGGTCCCCTTATTCCTGTCCCTCTCCATCTGAGTCCTACCCCTTCCTATGAGGGAGATCCCCTCCTTCATCTGAGGGAACTCAGGAGACTTTCAAGAAGCCAGATCAGAGAAACAAAGCGAGGAGGAGCTGGATGCTGCTTTACATTCCAGGGATGCCAGCCTGGCCTAGGAATGCTGTTGAGCTGTGGTGGGAAAGAGCTCTCAGTCCCCATCCTTCCTCGGAGTGGCCGGCAGCTCCCGTCTGGGTCCCTCAAATGCTAGCAGGGCTGGACAGACTTTCTTCCACTTCCCGTAAGACCGCTATACTCTCTGAAGAAATGGCATCTTCCTCCCATTGGCTTCTAAACTCTATTCTGTTCGGAAGTAATTCTTTGACTTCTGTGGTCTGTGTTTGCTTTCATTTCCAAAATAAGGATTCCCCACCCCCCTTCCCACTCCACCTTACCCCTGTGGTTGCTTTACTTTGGTCACAGAGGTCCTTTTTGGAATGGGGTGGAATGGGTGCTCTTATGCCAACTATCATCGCAGAATCGTTAACTTCCTTTTGATTCATCCTCCTTGAGGTCATCTTTAATTCATTTCCATCTACATGAAGAACAGGTCTCAGCTACCCAGTATCATCATTAAAATTATGCCTAAATATTTTAGGAATGAACCATCAAGAATTAATTGTTTCTGTACCCAGACTCCATTTAACTAGAGTGCCTAGGAACGAATGCTAAAAAATAACAATAATGATGATAATAAATGGTAATGTTAATATTTTATATAATACAATCATTAAGTATATGTATATTTGTATATTATAAATTAATCCTTATCTACCAGGAACCTAAATGTCATTATAAATGTTATGTATTTATCAAAAAATCCCATTGAGACCAGGAAAAACATTAAAAGAACATTAACCTGCTCTATGGCACAAAGTTCACCAGTTTCTCGTTTGTAGTTTGTATTCTGGGATGTAGCGACGAATTAGGTTCTGGATGTCTGACAAAATCTCACTAACTCCAGTAAATGTCGATGGAAGTTTTGCATGAATCAGATCATGTTCCTTAAGTTATTTAAAAACTAAGCATGAATTTGGACTAATAGATAGAAGAGAAATTGATTAAGGTCAAGCAGTTTATAATTAATGTGTAGACCAATAAGCACAGCAGAAAGTTTAATTCCAAAGGTTATTCTCAAGTGGGAGAAAAATAATTTTAAAATTAACTGGGAGCACCCTCGTTGAATCTTACATTTTATTGAAAAATGTAAATAGAATGGTGTAATGATGTCTTTTTAAAAAAATATATTTTATTGACTTCTTACAGAGAGGAAGGGAGAGGGATAGAGAGTTAGAAACATCGATGAGAGAGAAACATCGATCAACTGCCTCCTGCACACTCCCTACTGGGTATGTGCCTGCAACCAAGGTACGTGCCCTTGACCAGAATCGAACCTGGAACCCTTGAGTCCGCAGGCTGACGCTCTATCCATTGAGTCAAACCGGTTAGGGCAATGATGTCTTCTTTTAAAGGTGTTGTAAAGTATTGGCTACAAAAATTCTCCTACTCTATGTGGGCTGATCTTCCACAAAAAAAAAAAAAAAATTCCTGGTGTTTACTAATAATAGTAGAAATATTGCCCTAGCCACTTTGGCTCAGTGGATTGAGCATCGGCCCATGGACTGAAGGGTCCTGAGTTCAATTCCAGTCAAGAGCATGTACCTCAGTTGCAGGCTCGAGCCCCAGCCCTGGTTGGGGCACGTGCAGGAGGCAGCCAATTGATGTGTCTGATGTTTCTCTCTTTGTGTCTCTTCCCCTCCCTTCCACTCTAAAAATCAATGGAAAAATATCCTTAGGTGAGGATTTAAAAAAACAAAAAAGCAGAAATATACAGACGCACAAACACATGTACGTTCCACTAGTGTTTCACAAACTAGTCCAAGAAAATAAATGTAAGTTGTTCTGCTATAAAAATGTAGCAGTAAAAATGTCTAAATATCAAGCTACTAAAACTCATAAAACAGAATTCTTTCTAACCACCAAAGTCCTAAAAGGAGATGCAACATAGTCAGAATTATTTCTGGTTTTGAAAACATCAATTATGAAAACCATTAGGATTGTGTTTCTACCAGCAATTGCTTACCACATATCTGGGAATTGTGTGATTTTCACAAATGAGGTAGCTAATGCAGTTTTGTGCTACAACTTATCTCAAAATAGTACCATACCTCTCAGGGAACATCTAGGTCTTAGAGATATTGAGTGCCACATGGGAAATTATATCTGTGCTCTGCAGGAAAAAGAAAAATATTACAATACATGTCAATCCATGAAAGGAAAAGTAGGTGGAGCAGAGAGAACAAGACAGAGGGATAAAAATGTAAAAAGAGAAAATTATGGTCTCTATTTGATATAGAGTAATGATTCTGGTTTTAATGTGAAGTATTTTCCATTGCTTTCTAGTTATACATCGTCCAGACAAGAAAAAATCACTTTAAAAAATTATGGCCTATGGCTGAAAGCTAACCTCATGCCCTCAGTAGGAGAGCAATTAATTCAGGCATGGCTTAGCATCCGATTGTAACCCTGTGTTCCTTTCATTCACCTGCTGACAAATCCAGTTTATGACAATTTGGAATAGAAGTTTTCTACACTGAATCATTTCCATAATAAATTACCTTTGTGGCTCTTTTTATTATATCTGAAATTATTGCTTTACTTAAAAATTTAAGGTAAAATGAGTCTTCTTTACCATATTTTGAAAAGGATTTGTAGATATCTCTTTCAACTTATTGGTCTCAACTTTGAGAACTTATCAAAATTAATGTACTGATATTCCTTATAAATCATTATTGTCCTCCCCAAGAAGATAACCCAAAACATGTATATTATTTATACAAGGCAGCCTGGTAATTTCTCTTGAAAACATAACTCCGGAACCACCCATACCCCAATACATACAGTGTACCAACTTTAAGTTCAACATGAAGAAATTAAGAAATTTCAAGACAATGAAAAATAATCTTCACATGCATTGAAAAACATACTTAGAAAGTGTAATATTTCTAACTTGTACTTTTTCTACCACAGCTGACACGGGTCTGGATCTAAGGAAGCTGGGACTAATGACATGATTTCACCACCAATGTGACATTAAAGACAAATAGCAGGTAAATCATGGAGTAAATAAACAACAACAACAAAATGGACCCAGGAAAAGGGACTATCCCTTTTTAACAAAAACTCCAATGTCAAAAAGTCCAGACAGAAAATGTAGAAGAATGAATAGGGCTTATATAAGTACATAGGCATAGCCAAGTGGTAGTGGGAACTGTGGCAAATTAGAGAGCAAGTCCTGTCTAAAGGGGCAGACTAACCTGCTGATAGATACTTTCTCTTTCATTCAGAAGCATTCATGAAACATTTCTTAGCACACTCCTGATACACACTCATTCCCCCATAACCTCATTCAGTGCCATGGCTTTAAAACCAAATATGCAAATGACAGCCAATGTTATATTCCAGTCCAAACTATTCACCTGAACTCCACCTTGTCATGTCCAGCTGCCTATTTAACATCTCCACTTGGACGTGTACCAGGTACCTTAACAAATTCTTTATCCTCGATTTTCCCCTCTGAAATAAGATCTTTCTTATTCTTTGCCATCTCAGTGAATGGCTCCACTACTTGTAGTTTCTCAAGTCAAAACCATTAAGTAATCCGTGATGCTTTTCTCTCTTTTCCTAGCCTTAAATCCAACCCATTGTGTCCTGTGGGCTTTACTTTAGAAATATGTTCAGAGCCAGGCCACTCCTAATGCCCATCATCACACTCTAATTGTCTGTGTCCTGGACAACTGCAAATTGTTCCTTAACCATTTCCTTGCTTCCATTCTCATTTCCTCCTCATAGGCTCTTTTCCATGCAGCCACTAAAATAAATAAAATTTAAAGTGCCCCCAAGACATTTAACCTCAAGATAATCTTAGTTGGGAAAAAAGGTCTACAGCCATGTACCACATAATGTTTCAGTCAAAATGAACTGCATAGCCCTAACCGGTTTGGCTCTGTGGATAGAGTGTCAGCCTGCAGACTGAAAGGTCCCAGGTTCGATTACGGTAAAGGGCATGTACCTTGGTTGTGGGCACATTCCCAGTGGGAGGTGTGTAGGAGGCGGCTGATCGATGTTTCTCTCTCATCAATGTCTCTAGCTCTCTATCCCTCTCCCCTCCTCTCTGTAAGAAAATCAATAAAATATTTTTAAAAAATGAACTGCATACAGCACAGTGGTCCCATAATGTTACAACGGGGCTGAAAAAGTCCTATCACCTTGTGATGGCATAGCTGTAATATTGTGACACATAATGTCATAAAGAAATGCATTATCCACATGTTTGCGGTGATGCTGGTATAAAGAAACCAATTGTGTGCCTGTCATATAAAAGTATAGCACATACAATTATGTATAGGATATAATACTTGGTAATGATAATAAACAACTATATTACTGGTTTATGTATCTATTACACTACATTTTATTTTTATCTTATAATGTACTCTTTTTACTTATAAAAAACTAGAGGCCAGGTGCATGAAATTCGTGCACGGGGGGTGTTCCCTCAGCCCAGCCTGCACCCTTTCACAATCCAGGACCCCTCGGGGGATGTCTGACTGCCCTATGGGATTGGGCCTAAACTGGCAGTCAGACATCCCTCTCGTCATACATCCCTCTTACAATCTGGGACCGCTGACTCCTAACCACTCACCTGCCTGCCTGCCTGCCTGATAACCCCTAACCGCCTCTGCCTCAGCCCCCGCCGCAGTGGCTTTGTCCGGAAGGATGTCCAGAAGGTCATTCGGCTGTCTGGTCTAATTAGCATATTACATTTTTATTATTATAGATGTTTGCTGTAAGACAGTATATTATTCACAATGATGCTCCATATAGCTCATATTTCCCACCCATTGATTTCTCTTGTGCATCATTTTTTTCTTGTGTTTGGCTTAATCTTATGTTGTTTGCATAGTGACATGCTATAAAGACTTGTAGCTCAGGAGCAATGGGCTATTATTTAGCCATGGTATGTAGTAGGCTATACCGCCTACATCATCTAGGTTTGTGTAAATGCACTCTATGATATTTGCATAATGGCAAAATTGCTTAACAAAACTTTTTTCAGAATGTGGTGGTGTTAAGAGGCACATGACTGTCTGTATTCAATGCTCCTCTACCTTGGAGATGTGCCTCCTTTCTTTCATTTCTGAATGCCACTAAATATGTGCATCCATCTCATCACAACCACTGCTCTGGAGCACTCCAACACTACACTACTCCTTCTCTTGTTAATTATTTATTTATGCCTCTAGAGTGAAAGCTCTAGATGGGCTGGCTTTGCCTGATTTCTTCACTGCTGTATTCACAGAGGCAAGAACTGTACTAGTCACATGGTGATTTCTCAATAATGGATGGATGGATGGAAGGATGGATAAAAGAATAGTTAAAATCCCAATCCAGGCATATAATCTCAAAGCTTAAGCTTTTTTTTTTTTTGTTTGCTTGTTTTGTTTGTCAATCTCACCTGAGGATATTTTTCTATTGTTTTTTTTAGATGGAGTGGGAAGAAGGAAGAGGGAGAAAGAGACAGAGAAACATCAATGTGAGAGAGTCACATCAATTGGTTGCATTCTGCATGCACACCAACTGGGGCCAAGGTGAACCTCCAACCCAGGTAGGTGCTCTTGACCAGGAATCAAAATCAAGACCCTTAGGTGTGTGGGCCGATGCTCTAACCACTTAGCCACAGGCCAGGGCTCGAAGCTTATGCTTTTACCATTAAACATCTTGACTCCTATATGTGTCAGGTCACGAAGGGCCTTAGGAGTCAAATAATTTCAATTATATTAAAAAAGTTATTGAAAGGTTTAAAATGGAAGGATGACATCATTAGATTTACACATAAGGCAGATTACCTGACAGCATTCCCAAAGAATATTTGGGGTGGAAGAAAACCGTTGGGAAGATTTGCAATAATCTAAGCTGGTGGCCTGGAATAGGGTAGTGGCAATAGGGATGGAGAGAAAAGGACTAATTAGACAGTTTTTATAAGATGGATTCATTGGGCCCTGGTGACTGATTAGCTATGAGAATTCGGTGAAGTGAGAAGCTAAGGATAATTTATATGTTTATATCATTTTCTGCAATAGGTTTGTTTAGGGGGTAATTAATTCAGTGTAGCCATGCTAAGTTTAATTTTTGTAGGACATTCATAAGGAATTATCATAAGTTCACTGATAGGACTAGCCTAGTGGTTTAGATTTTGGAGTCTTTTACTATATAGATTATAATTGGAGCTACTGAAGAAGAGATCATCCAAGGCCATAAAGATTAGTATTTGAAGAGAATGTACAATATAAACATGAAGAAAAACATGTAAAAGGCAGACAAAGGAAGAAAAGTTTGCAAATGAAAAGAAAGAGTAATCAATGGATAAAGGCAAAACCTACTATTTTCCCAGAGAGAACTTACTGGGCAAAACAGCTTACTGAAGTGCTTAATATGTTCTCAAGAAATAGTATGTACCAGGAGACTTTGAATCAAATTACACCATCATTCAAAAAATATGTGTAAAACCATCAGAACAGGGTAAATGGACCAGCTGGAAAGACATAATGGGTTGATCAATACAATGTCATGCATGGTATTAAATATGGTATATGATAAATAAGCAATAACGTTTAGCAAGGTGCTGGGAAATGTCTAGTAGAGAAATGACAGAGGAAATAAAGAGAAATGAAATATCATACCAAGGCTAACAGCCTATCTACTCATTCTAACACAATGTTCCTACTACACTCATTGTTTACTTGCAAAATTTTGCAATACTCTGAAATCTCTGGAGATTTCTCCTTAGCAACATATGGAGGAGAATGAGGAAACTTTAATTGGGTTTTCTGGCAATAAAGTAGTAATTCTAATAGCAAAATCAGCTAATTCTCAATGATTGTTTCAGAGTACTATTGCAAGATCTCTGAGATTGGGCTCTTAACAATTATAAACACCATTTTCAGTATCATTTTACATAATTAAGAAACTCAGAATAAAAGCTGAGATTACTTTTATAAATATGTCTTGTTTAGTCACAGCTCATTTGTTGAGCGATTAATATATACTTGGAAGCCTTTTAAGTCCTATCCATGTGTCAACTAATTGAACCTGCACAAAACTCTTTAAGTAGATTTTATTACTTTTATTATTGTTGTTGTTGTTTTTATTGCTATTTTACAAATGAGGAAACTGAGGCACCGGGGGTTTGAGTTTTGTTTGTTCCATGGCAGAGCCAGGAACTCTGGCAGCCTCACCATGGCCCCCAGGCTCGTTTCCATTATTTTCCCTCCAGTATTCCATCGTGTGGACCATTCACATATCATTATTTTCTGATGAGAGCTAAACCTCTGTCCAAAATGACACAGAATGTTATCTCCATCATTTTGTGATTCAGTAGTAATATTTTTTATGATGGCAGTAGAAGCAAATTCTTTTGCGTTAGTTTTTGAATTGAACAATCATACAGAAAGTGAACTCAATAATGAAGCACTTACATATAGATTTTAATATGAAATAAATATAAAATTATGATCAATATTTAATCTCTTACAAATAATGGGCTTATTTCCACTTCCTGGTGAAAACACCTCTAGAGATTGCCTCAGCTGGCAGACCGATGACTGGGAGGGAACACGGCCAGGCCTTCTCCAAAGTGTTCCTGAATGCCTCGTCTCTTTGCACTGAAGTCGCTCACAGGGTTCACAGCACACCATCTTAGTTCATCTGCCTCTACATCCCTCTTGCTGCCATAAATTTCAAGGGTCCTATCATGTCTCACACCTGATCAATGTATTTATTGGTCTATAGGTATTTCTGATTATAATTTTGCTCTTAAAGGATAATGATCATCTAGTATAATTTTTACTTTTAATAGTTTATGTTAAAATACATGAAACATCTTTTTCTATTTAAAATACAAAAAAGATAGCATGAATTCGTATTTTGATATTTTCCGTAAATGGACTTTAATGTCATGTATATCTGATAAACATGGATACAATGCTGTGCATAAAAATTGACATAAGAGTTTGGGTTGGTTAAACCAGATTGCAAAGTTTATTGGTTTGAGGTTAATAATATTGAATAGATCCCTGTAGTTCAAATAAAAGACAATTGGGTGTGATGTAAATAAATGAATGAGTTCTTGTACTCTCAATTCTATTCTGGACAGAAAAGTAAAAATGTGGAGATGTTAGAGAAATTTATGCATATTTTCAAAAACACAGTCAAATGTATCTGTTCATGAGTGTTGCTTAGGGAAATTCCCATCAGAAGCACATGACTATTTGTAAATAGATTTGGTCCCTTGCAATCTAGTAGGCCCTTCTTGCTACAACCTTCTAAGTCCCAGCTCCCTTCCCTGTCCCACAAGGGTTAAGATTTGGCTGGACCTTCAAGACTTGCCTTACATATTTCTAATTTTCAGTTTCTCTCTCACTGTTGCCCAATTCAAATTATATATTCTAGTTAAACTGGTTTGTTACCCCACAGATACATCAGTGATTATGAGTACCTTTTAATCTTGTTCACTCTCTTTCCTATTGGAAGAAGTAGGTGAGAAGTAGGCAATTTATACTTCTATATTTACACAAATTTACTCACTCTCAGTGATTTTTCAACCTTTTTCATGTCATGGCACACATAAACTAATTATTAAAATTCTATAGCAATATATATGTCTGACAAAAAAGTAGGTATAATTTTGATTCAGTCACACCAGACAGCTATTATTGTGTTGCCTATTGTCATTTTTTAATTTGACAATCTAAGGAAAAGAGGTTTGTGACCCTAACTAAATACTCAGGTATTGCATGTTTTAAAGATTTTAGTGGGCTTGCAGTGGCACACTCATTCTGGCCAATCCACAGTTCCCCAAGCTAGATTGACAGGCAACTATCTTCCTTATTTACCCCAACTTCAGTGGGCCTGCATCAATCTCTCCTTTGTTGGAGCTCAGTGATCTGTGGGGAATGGGCCAGTGGTTCCCTGGGGAGTGTGAAATTGCAGCTTCCTGGTGAATATGCCCAAGTGGTATGTCTATAATGTCTGGCCTCCCTTCATTCCTTTTCTATTATTAATAACTAGATAATTACAATGGCATCAGTTTGAGTGGCAAAGGGGTGGTCATACTCCCTCATTTTGAGTCCATTCATTCCCTTTGGGTTTTTGGGCAGAAAGCTCCTAAGCTACTTCAGACTTATCAAAAAACTGATGGCTTACCTAGCCTTTCTTCTTCTGGGGCTGACAAGGAACTCCAGTAGACTCCAGGTTCACACTCATTAAAAAATAAATAGACATTGTCAGTCTCTGGGGTATATTGATGACAAGCTGTACCTTAAATGAAGCTGAGTGTTTATCAGCTCCTAAAATATTTCCCCAGAGGGACAGTTTTAAACTCCTAAATCTAGTTAAGATGGCCAGAGGCCATAGCTCTGAATTGTTATTCTAATTAAGCAGAATTCTTAACTAAGTTTCTGAAATGTAGCTCTGTTTTACTCAAATCTTGGAATTATTGGCCCTGAGCTGTTAAAGTAACATTAAGTGCACATAATTTTAAAAAATGAAAGGCAAACTGATCCAACCAAATAAACAAACATGATATTTTAAAAATGGGTTCATAGCCCTAACCGGTTTGGCTCAGTGGATAGAGCGTTGGCCTGCGGACTCAAGGGTCCCAGGTTCGATTCCGGTCAAGGGCATGTACCTTGGTTGCAGGCACAAACCCAGTGGGGAGTGTGCAGGAGGCAGCTGATCGATGTTTCTCCCTCATCGATGTTTCTAACTCTCTATCCCTCTCCCTTCCTCTCTGTAAAAAATCAATAAAATATATTTTTAAAAAAATAAAATAAAAATGGGTTCAGAACTGAGTGCAAATTCTAAATCCACTCATACTATCTTTACAACTATTTTTCCATAAATCTAAAACTATTCTAATATGAAAGTTATTTTTAAAATGGTTTATAGGCCAAAAAATATATAGGTGAAAGAGCATGTAGATGTCATTTGGGTTCTCAATTTAGTCTTCCTTTTACTTCAGATCTCTTTATGATGAAGCCATTGGATATAAACATAAACTCCTATTCATTGTATAAACTACATTGTAAAATGTTCCTTCTATATCTTTTTAAAATCAGTTGTTTTATTGATTTTTCACAGAGAGGAAGGGAGAGAGATAGAGAGTTAGAAACATCGATGAGAGAGAAACATCGATCAGCTGCCTCCTGCACATCTCCCACTGGGGATGTGCCCGCAACCCAGGTACATGCCCTTGACCGGAATCGAACCTGGGACCCTTGAGTCCGCAGGCTGACACTCTATCCACTGAGCCAAACCGGTTTCGGCATCTTCTATATCTTTTTAAAATCAGTTGCCTGTTTTGCCGAGAGTTAAACAGATATAAAATAAATAAAAGTCATTCTGACCTTCATTTCACATAAAGGAAAGACCTAAGTGCATTGACATAATGTATTGGACTTCATATATAACTATAAGGCTGACATACTGTCACTACCACTCAGCTTAGAGCTTAGCAGTGGTGACAGGTGGATGCTGAGCTATCTACAAAGGCCCAGAGAACATGGTCAGTGGAAGATGGGCCTGAAGTTTGGCTGGGAGTGGACTGGGCTAAGCTGATTCTGGTACACCTTGATGACAGTCAACATCATTTTGGGAAAACTAAGCACAAGTTATGAAATGCTTCCTGCCTTTGGCCAGGATGTTTACTGGGAACTAGGACTAACCATGCTAGCTAGGTCCATCAGTCTAATAGTGGTTCAATAGTGAACATTTTTTTAGCCCAAAGGTGTCTAAGGGGTTCTAGAGGAAAATCTTTCGGGTTTAAAGTAACAAAGCATTAGAACTTGTGCGTGTGTA